GCTCACTTTGAGGAGGCAAAAAAAGAATGACCTCTCCTTGTTTAGAAGTGTGGATGATTTCAGAACCTGAGCATTGTGGTTCTTGACCCTCCCTTCTCTTCTTCCCTCTCTCGGGCACCACTCATCTTATGAAGTCATTGTGCTCCGTCGTTCTGCTCGATAACAGATGAGTAATGACTCCTTGAGCAAAGTAGCATGACATCAGGAAGGTTGTTCAGGTGAAAAGGGGGAGAGGTGTCATTTTCCTCTGTTAGGGTCTCAGTGTCACGTTGTCCCCTTTCATTCCCAACCAGTCGACTCAGCGGTCTACAGATATCTGATGGGAAGTATATGGTGGCAATTCTCTTGCAGTAGGAAACGCCATTTGTGCAGTGTAATGTTTCCTAACATTTTATGTTTATCTGCGACCCTTATTCAAGGACACTTATAATGAGGTAGTGTGTAGAAGGTGACTATCCTGTTCAAGTAAAACCTGGGAGCAGGGAGGACAGTATCTCTTGTGTGTGGAGTTCACTTTTTCATTCTGCTTTGTCACACTACTCACACAGTGGATGCTTGAGAAACACTGTCATTGTAAATTAACTTGGGAGTTGTCATAGGTGGATATATGGGCACATTGCAGTAAATTGCCACATGGGGGCGCCAGCTTACACAGTATCAGTGCTTCCACCGTCTTCCAGTGTTGCCCATATTTGCTCTGTTTCACAGGCGGAGATGGGGTGGTGGTGGGAAGTGGCGGTGGGAGAGGGGGTTAAATGAAGTGCAAGAACACCCTCCTCATGCTGAAAAGGTCACTGTCTTCCCTGAGCTCCATGACCAAACTGTTTCTCTTTGAAGAGCCACATCTGAGTGCTCAGGAGCAGGAGGAAGTCCTTTATTAATCTGGGAATCAACAAGCTCTGATGGCAGGATATGTATGCAGGTGTGCATGTTTTAGTATACTATGACACACACAAACATCATAAAATACAAGTTTAATATGTACATGCTTTACTTGGATTACAGTATGTGATCGTAGAGTACTTCAAGTAGCAGTAAGATTTTTCCAGTACGTCTTCTTTCATCGTGTTTCTGTGACCTAGATTTCTCTTGGGAAGTACACACTCTGTTACTACATATTGTTCAGTTTGCGGTTATCGTCCCCCTGTGTATTTGTGTGTGGCTGTGCGTGTGCGTGTACACGCATGCACATACGTGTCGGTGCCAGGATCTTTGGGTTTTACAGCTGTCCCCGTCATATTTCCAGAGCCGATGACAAGCACAGAGAAATGAGTTGCCTTTCAGAGAGGGCGACCAATTATTGTTTGGTGTTTTTATTGGTCCAAAAGAGTTTTAAAAATACAAATGATTGTATTTTTATGGCGGTCACGCTCCACGCTGGTCTCCTTTGTGTTCTGCGGAAATAATTCCTCTGGAGGCCACGGAGTTCTAGTTCTTAGTTTGGATGGAAGACAGACGGGTCGAACGGGTTTGTGGTTCTGCTCCGGAACAAGCTGCTTTTAGATCACGATTTTTTTTTTTCGCCAGAGACACACAGGGCCTGATACTGTATAAACTAACTTCTCTCCCATTGCATTAGAACTCGGCTTGTCCTAATCATAATCATACTCCACAGACTGCAAACGCAATGCCACATCAAGGCCAATGGGTTTCAGAGCTCACTAAACAGAATTAAAATTGTTTTGTTGTCAGCTAGACTTCGAATTCTCCCCTCGCTTTATATATTTTATTCATTTGAGAATTAATAAATGCCAAATTTCATCATATTTTGTTCCCGGCCCACTTAACGTACTAGTTTCACCAGCTAGCTGGTACGTCATAAAGAACTTGACTGTAGCCAGCATCACCAGCTATAATAGTTCATTTGTAAACCATCATTGTTCCCATAATATTACATGTACAGTGTATGATTCATGTTGAAGTACTGCAGAACCGCCCCCCCCCAATGTTTTGAAGTACATTACTGTTCAGCTGTATTTTGGAGCTGCAACTGTCGATAGCATGTGCAAAGTCAAGGTCAGTGAAAGGTAACCATGCATCAACACTCCCTCTCTTAAGGAGAACCTGGTTTTGTCCTATCAGCTCGTTGATAAAGTTATCGGAGTCAAAATAGTACGGCCGTAAACACTGGGGAGCCATGTGTGGGAGATGACTGAGACAGATGTCACGGTTTCCCAGGAGGATACACTCACTGAGACAGACAGTCCACACCGCAGTGCTTGGCCCATAGAGTCATGGTAGCTGCCTATTGTAGGTGGTCTCCTTCAGCAGGAGGTGTGTGCGGTTTGAGAGTGGGATGACATATGCACAGTGGTTTAATGATAAAAGCCTGTGTGTGTGTGTGTGTGTGTGTGTGTAAGAGAGAGCGAAAGAAAGAGAGAGATGCGGGAGTATAGTTCGAGGAACCTTCGTACACTGAAAGATAAAATGAATGACTGCTGTTCTCATTATAACAATCAAGCTACTGGAAAGGAGGCCCCCCTCTCTCCCAGAAAGGCATACGGCTGCCCCGCGCCTCGCCTGTCCACAAAAGGCATTTCTCTTCAGCGGGTATGTTTTGACTTTGAGAATTATGACAGAATTCCTTGCCCTCTTTCCCATATCCATGACTCACGTGACTTGTTCCCATTCGCCGATACCCCGTTTGAGTTGTGTCGAACGTTTTTCTGCACAATTTCACAGAAGGCAGAGCGACGAGGTTAAATATTTCATCGAGGGGTTGTTGTTTTTCTGCGACCAGGCCAAAGCAAACATAGGCCTGGTGAAGAATGTAATCATTTATCTAAGACCAGGGGCAACATGCTCAATTTGACCTGAAATAAGGCTCTGTGGTGCCCACAGGGACAGGGAGCTACGGTGTGCATGACTGCGTATGTATATGTTTCCGTGCATATTTAGGAGAACAAGGTATGTCAAAGCTACTGAGCTGCTACAACTAGAGGCAAAAGCCAGATACTTGGTTTGTTTGTACTTCCTCCTCTGTTTACATCATGTGGAGATAAGCATGTTGGGGCATCAGTCTCGTATAATCTGTCGGGAGGGTTCACCGGTGCTTCATGATGTTGAGATTGTGAATGTTAAAGTGTCTTTGTCCCTTGAAAAATAAGTAAAAATAATTATTAAACAAACCTTTATTTGTGTTTGCATTTTTTCGATTTTCTATTTTTATTTTTGTGTTGCATGCTTGACTTGGCAATGCAAATGTCTGTTTCCCATGCCAATAAAGCCCCTTAGAATTGAATTTAAAAGTACTTCAGCCCACAGACTTAAAATGAGCAAAACATAAAAGAATAAATTAGGAAACCCATAATTACCTCGCCTCTCTCAGTCCTTTTCTCTCACAGTGTCCGCCCTAAAATCCCATCTAACACACCCATGGCAATCATGAATTGCTGGGAATTTTATCTGACTTTGGTAGTGTGAAGCTTTCCCATCATTCCCTGAAGGGTTTAATGTCCCTATCGCTTGTGGACTGACCTACCCAAGCCTTTAGCTTGGTTGTGTAATGACTGTCATTAACCTATCAAGATCTGCCGAAGGGTCCTGGCTGCTTTTTCCCACCCCCTCCTGCCACTTTCCCTCCATTGCCAAAACCAAGATGGTTCCTTCAAACCCTCGCTCTTGCCCTCCAGGGAGCGGAGAACACCAAAGTCTACAGTCTAATTGGATTCATTTGTAAAATAGCTGTGGAACTTTGGACATTATCTATCTATGTACCCATGACTGGAATGCAACTTATTCTCCCCACTGGATGTTTTTTACCCTGTCACCATTTTAGTTCAAATGTAGTCTCTTGATGGCCTGAAGTACTTTTCTTGTTTTTATTGGATTCTCATGTTCATTAAATAATGAATTCTTTTCAGTGCATGTGCCTTTCTTTTGTATAACACAATCCCTGATCTGAGAAAGGCCCATTTGGGTCAAATGTGGTATTAATGCTTTGCAGCAGTGGATGAATGGTGCTTTGTCTGTCTGTAATAAAACCACAACAGTAGACTGAGTTGGAGACAGGAACATAGATGTTCTCTGCCAGTGTAGTCTATAGGTCTCAGGAATCTCAGGGAGTCCGTCAACTTTTCAAATTGAACTACCTCTTGTTTATCAAGATGGTATTAATTCCAAATTTAAATGAATGTAGAGTGTGCTTGTATTATAAGCCACAAGCAAGTCACCCTGTCCTGTCACCAGATGTGCTGTCCCTTTGTAACTCATTTTTAGACCTCTGCAGTCTCAGTGCATTGCACTGTGTCCTTTCCCAGCTGCATCTGCTAGTGTTTTGTTTGGTATAGCCCGGAGCATTTTGTGTTTGTGTGTGCGCCTGTGTGTCTGAGTAGGCCTGTGCATGTGTCTTTGTGTGTGTTTGGGCTCTGTTTTGCGGATGTTCATCAGATAAAGGATGTAGAAGACCACAACTGGCTATTACACCACCACTTCAGCGACATGAGGTTAGCCACAGAAAGGCAGATGCAAAGACAGTCAATGTGCTGAATTAACTCTTAAGTATAACACTGCTGTACTGGTACTGCAGCTGATTTTGTCACACTATCCGGTGGCTGTGTTGTTTACACTCTCCACTAAGTCTTCTACTCAGCAGTGGAATTAACTTCTTTGCTCTTCATGGATCCAGACATAATTGTATTGACCGAAGCTGTACAGTGGAGGCTTTCATTGTTGCTCATCTTTGAGATGGCAGGCCAGAGTGGAAGACATTACAACAGGAAATTGTTGTAATTTGTTGTAACCGCAGGCTAAGCACACTATTCAGTGTCTAGATTCATCTTCTTGATAAATCAGTGGTCAATGGGATTATTCCTTTTTGTGGCACTTCGGTCTCCAGTCACAATAGTCGAGTTGGGTACATTGAACGAATGCTACTGCTCAGTCTAATCTTATCGGCCCATGATTCTTTTAGCCTTTGAGATTGTTATTTGCTTCTTTCAAACCAGTATGCTGCCAACCTCAGCTCCTTTCTTTCTCTGTCTCTGTCCTTCTCTCTCCAGATTGAGAACCTGTTGGAGCAGTTAAAAGATAAGGATAAACAGCTGGCTGGGTTGAGGGAAAGGGTCCAGGGCCTTCAAACGGACTCCAGCAACACAGACACAGCCCTGGCCACACTGGAGGAAGCCCTGTCCGAAAAGGTACGGGATGAAGGGAGGGTGAGGATGGCCTTGTTAAATAGAATACAGGTTAAGACAGGCTGCCAGCACTGATGAAATAAGAGACTCAAAGTGAGGGTCGGGGCTGAGATAGATGTTGCTCCATTGGAATAGTTGCTGGTAGATGGTGTGACAAACTGCACAAACTATTAATGAAATGACTAAAATTAGTTTGTCAGGTGTAGACAGTAAAAACTCACAAAACGAAACCATTAGACCACCACTTGGTCTGGAATGGTCTGGAATATTTTATCCATTGAGGCACTGGTCTTTCAGGAAACTGGCATATGGTAAACAACTTAATTAAGTTACATACTTCGCTATGACTCACTGCCATAATTTTCTGACACGGCCAAATTTATAGACCTTGGGCCACACTAGATGATGTCCTTCCTGAAAACCGTAAGGGAGAGAAGGAGGCACCAGGAGAAATTAGGTCTAAGGTGAACATAGACAGAGGATTAGTCTCTGTCTGTAACTGCGCTGAACATAGGGAGTGGATGATCTATAGAATAACAGGCGGATAAAAGTTTTGAAAGGGGAAGGAATAGATGGACGGAAAAGTGGAATGGCAGAAGAGGCACAGCCCTGATGGAAGAGGTGGCCTCAGAATTAAGGGAGGGAGAGGTCAAGGAATTCAAGGGTGGAGACAGAGTACTTCTGCAAGACATGTGAAAGAAGAAGAGAAAGAACAGAGCAAGGAAGAGAAATAGAGTTACAAATGATGAGACTGGGATGGAAATATAGAAACAGAACCGCACACATATAGAGGGAAAAAAATTGCAACTGTGAGTAAACATAATGAGAGAGACTGTGCTACCACAATGTATGGTAAAGTCTTAATGTGATGTGAAGTCTTAATGTGATGTGTGCAGTCCTGGTCCTGGTGTTAGTAAAATATCAAGTCTGACTCTGTTCTGCAGGCTATCCACAGTTTCTCCTACATTATCAATTGGCTTTAATGTTGGGAAATATAGGCATAATATATTGCTTTTCTTAACTGGATTTAGCGACATTCATAGCCTCAGAAAATAACACAACGAGCACAATACTGCGTGAATCCTGTGTAAAATTGCAGCGATGAAAAACTACCATTTAAATCAAGGTGAACTAAGCAAACATGCTCCACAAAGGTGGAAGGTGAGGGAATGTGCTGTAAACATTCAGCATTTGTTGTTTTCTGGCAACATGAGAGAGCAGCTGTTCTCTATAAAGCCTCACCTCAACATTACTGAGCTAGCTCGCCGCCACTAACACTAAAAGAGGACTGGCTTCGCTGGCCACTGGGGTGTTTTGTTTTCAGTAAATTGCATCAGGTTATTTACCCATTGAACCGTCATTGATTTTGCTGTATTCCCAAAGACGTCTATGTATTGTGTTGCAGAGATATCTGCAGAAGTTCGGGTGGTAACCAGCTAGCTCCGGCCCATCCTGTCTTGTAATACCACTTGAGAGGTGTGAGAGGTGATAGTGAGTCACTGTAGCGTCCAGTCTGCCCTCAGACCAACATGAGAGGATGACGGAGTAGAGCTGCCACAAGTGATTGTGAATCAATACTGCAGCACGAGCTGCTCAAGTTTTTTGTCTCCTGCCACCACTTGATTTTCCTCGTTTCTGAGTAGGCAGACAGGGTGTGAATAAAGATAAGCTCTACATGTGATTAGAAAAGAGCAGAGGAGCAGAATCGCTTAGAGAGTAGCCTGGGAGGAGGTTAAATGCTGCCTCCTATTTGTTTGGAGCATGTGGCCAGGAATTTGTACCTTTAAGCGATGTGTTTATGAATTTGCACACATGGTTACAGGATGCCTGGGATTTCTAATTGGAGACAGGCTTGAACACAGGGAATATTTGAAGTTATATACTGTACTGACCATGACCATGGAGATGTCAAACCCTAGTCTGGCAGTGTATACACTCTACCTTGAACTGACTGGCTTAATGTCAGAGTGACTGGATCTTGCTAAGCTTAGTTGCATGTTTAAAGTTGCTGCTAGCACACATTTGTTGGTACTTCAGTCTAAAAAAATGATTGCTTTGGCTTTGCAGGCAAAAAAATGGTTTCCATTTACATGTTTGCTTGTACTGCAGGCTTAAAGATGGATGCTGGTTTACATTTTGTTGGCACAGGCTGTTGCTTAAGAGTTTATAGAGTTTCCATTAGGACAGATGTGGATGTCTAGCTTCACTGCTTGTTTTCCAGTGGCTGCCACATTTTTATGTGTTACAATGTGCACATACAACTCTAGCTTGTGTTACTTGTGCGCTGACCTGCCAAGTGCATACTCGTGTTAGGGGCTGAAGGAACTAGGTCAATAGTAAACATTCTAAAGGAGCTCCCATGCCAAAATTTGAGTGGTGCATCTGATGCCTAGTCAGGACTACACATGAGAAGGAATAACACTTACATCAAGGAATTGACCATTCATAGCAAATAGGCATGCGGTTAGATTTGGCGGAAAGGGCTCTTCTGTTGAGGGAGCTTTCAATCAGTCCAAACATTGACGTGGATTCTGCTGAGAGAGCTTACCCCCCTTTTAATAAACACATATGCGAACATTAAATCTTAGTTAAACAAGCATGTTGCAATTTCTCCTCAATGCTAGCAAAGCCCTTCTTATCTAAGATAAAACTTAATATTATTGATTATTCTCCGTTGAACATACATCAAGAAACTATGAGCAAGGGAAATATGTACCTAGACTATGTACAGAAACACATAATTGAATGCAAGCCAGGTCTCCTCTCCTCTCTTAAATATAACCAAATTATCAGGAATTAAGCAGTAGATTAAATTATATTATGAACAACTATTAACCAAGTTGTGCATGAGCTAATAGAAAACCCCCAAAACAACTTCAAAATTACAAGAGGAAAATATGCCCAAGACCAGTTCAGCCCATGTAGGAGTAATGGCAAGTCGAAATCCAGTGAATCGTGGACCAGCAGCAAACACAGGAAAACTTAATCGTTCTACTGGCATCTGAACTGATGGCTGATTGACGACCCCTGACCACTGACTCTCGGAAGGACAGCAGAAGACGCATGCCGCACCACAATTATTTACTCCTCAATTAATTTATAGAGAATGAGAATCACTGGCTGTGTGCGAAGTTATAATATCTGTGCTGCCAGCTGTAAATGAGCACTTAGTCAATGACACTGATCATGTTTATTTCTTATCAGTATAAGAGTATGGTCTAGACCTGTTCAGTGTGAAAAGTGCAATGAGATAACTTTTGTTGTGAATTGACGCTATGTAAGTAAATAAAATAACTAAAATTGAAAGTGAACGCAGCTTAAGTGGAGTTGGACACAGGGTGCTTGAGTTCTGTGTGTGTGTGCGTTCGTGTCTGTCTCATTGGGTTGCTATTATTATGATTGTGTTGAATTTTAGTTAATTGAACCACACTGTTTTATATCCATTCAATCAAGACTTGTTTACTTTGTGCTCACAGAAATCGGCCTATTAATAGACAAAAGGCTGATGTGTGTTTCATTCTGTTTGCAACACACGGACCAACACAGTACATTGATGTTTTCACTTAAAATGATCTTTTATCACCTAAATTTGTTTTTGTTGCCGACAGACTTTGAAATGAATAGCATAATGGCACAATAAACTGTAAATCCCTTTTCTGCCTCGGCCCATCTGTTTACCCAGAAACCACTTCTGATGCAGCCTACATATAATTCAGCTGTGATGAGGAGAACGTTGGCGAGCTTTTCAGACTTTGTGGTCAACACAGGGTGTGTGTAATGTGTTTACAAGAGCGAGTGTGTGTGTTGCTAATCACACACCCTGTCACAAACCTGCTCTTGGAGCCAGTCGCTAGCCACAGTGCTGTGGTTCTAATTAACAAGCTAGGGCATTGTGCCCAAGCCGAGCCCTGCTCTTTGTTGTAAGTATGTGTGTGTGTGTTTGCCTGTCCGTGATGTTGTGTGTGAGTGTTTGTTGTTTTTACATGTGCTCCAGACTCGAGCCTCATAGAGGCAGGTTTTATTATCACATCCTGGTCTCTTTCCCTAAACCCCAAACATCCTAGAGATATTTCATAATGTGAGGAAAGCACCCAGGACTTATTAGCCGTGTGGTCTCTTTCCCTCTCTTTTCTCTCTCTCTCTCTCGCCTTCTCTTCCAAAGCCCACTATGTAGTGCGTTACTGTGCCAGGTCTAGTTAGTGGGTGTATTTGTCCAATTACCCAGAGGTTTAAAGCTGCCAATCATGCGGCGATGCCACATCGTAAAGTCTCATTGCTGAGCTGTGCTCTGTGCCTAAATAAACACCTGAGTAAACACCTTGATAATCACTTCAGTCCACACCTAAACACACACACACACACACACACACATACACACACACACACATACACACATCTTAACACTCACCTACTACACACTGCTCTGCCACCCATGGTGTGGACCTGGTCTCAGGCCAATGCCCAAAGCCCTGGTCCTCCCGCTGTCCGATGTGATTAGAGAATAGAGAAAATTATGATGTAAACAATCCGACATGGTTCATCATAAGGCAATGTAGAGTGTTAGGAAGCGATCCACAGTATTGTCCAATCCGTTCTCTATAAATCTGTCTCTGTCCCCCATCCCTATGCCTCCTACCTCCTTCTCTTTCTGTTCTACTTGGCTCTGATCTCCTCATGTCCCTGCTATTATTTATGGTAGTATTATTTATGAAGGGCGTTTATGAGTTTGTCTTTGGCCTCACTTTGCAAAGGATGTTGGTGAGTAAATTCAGCTAGTGATTGGATCACAACTTTCAATAATGATTGAAACAACTGTAATCACACAGCATTGACAATCTTTTGCCCACTGGAAACAAAACAACACCCATGTTACAACATTCTTAAATCTGACCAAGCATTGACGCAGATGATATGTAGCTCTCCAGGCTCTTTGCTATATCCTACTCACACCTCTCACCAAACATTGTTTTTCCTTGTTCTGTTACTGTCTCAGGAGCGAGTGATTGAGAATCTGCGTGAGCAGAAGGAGCGGGAGGACAGGGTTCGGCTGGAGGAGCTGGAACAGATGAGGAAGGAGAACAAGGACTTAAAGGACAAACTTTCAGTCCTGCAGCCCCAGAAGCTGTCCCAGAGTCAGCCTGTCAACCCTGGCCTGACCCAGAACCAGAGGCCTGATGGAGAGGTCAGTACGGATTGTTTTGATGTAGTTATGGTACCTTCATCTGAAATATCTAAAACAAAATAGAGCTTGTGGTTGAAACAGTGTGCATGTGGAATATTTCATCGTTATCCGCATCATCGCAGACTATCACATGCTGCTGCACTTGCGCCAAGATCTAAAATGTGCCCAAACACAAATTCTCATTTCACAGAAATCAAAAAACAAATAATAAGAAGTACCTTTCTCAAAAAACCTCACTGTTGAAGACTTCAAGCGAACATCATGACACTTTATAATTATTTTTTATTGTATAAAAATAATTAAAAGATTTACTTTTACGACCACTCTGTCATGGTTGTAATATGCTACTTGTACCCTGTATTTAATCTGCTAACATTTAAAGTAATAGTAATTCCACTCTCTTACCTCCCTGTGAGCACCCACAATATTGTTAGCAACTCCCTAGCAAAGGGCCTGCCTGCACTTTGTCCCACAGGATAAAGGGATGAATTAAGAGAGAGTGATTTATGGACATAAAAGATCCCTCTATCCCTGTTCGGGTGCCAAGTCAGAGGCCTTGCTGTCTTTTTTCTCTCTCTTTTTCCTCTCCCAGGCTTACAAGCCAGGACAGACTCTCGCCCTGCCAGAATTTATGAGAATGTTTTTTTTTTATGTACTCGTAAAAAGCATACACACATCTCATTCCTGTGAAATGATATCTTGTTGAATGTTGATGCGGCACCACATGAAAGCGGCAGCAGCTTAATAACTCTTTGTTGCGAGCAGATTCACACTCTGACAGAAGTGTTGCCATAATTGGACTGTTTTGTGTACTCGGCAGCAATCAGACTTGTAATGTAAACTTGCAGATTCTTCAAACAGACAGATGATGTTTTTGTGTTTATATTTGTGCGCCTATGCATGCGTGCCAGCACAGAAACAACTGTTGACGTGCGTTTGTACAGATTTGTAGAGCGTCTGCATGTGTTCGAGTGTGTTTGATCCCATCGTAGTGCAGCGTAGTGTGACCGGCTGTGTGGCTGTGCTCAGTGGGTCAGAAGTGAACTGACACGGTGCCTGAGATTAAAATCTGATCAAACTAAACTACCACACACACAAACATTCACCTCAGTGCCATCAGTCAGTGTTTAACACAATTTGATACTGTCAGCCACGTGCGTTTTGGTCTAAATACTGGGATACTGCTAAATCACACTCCCAAATCCGGCATGCTACGTGCGGCAAAAGCTGCACTAGGTGTTTTAGATGGCGGGAATCCCGCACCAATAAAACTCAAATGCTCCAAGCCATGGTAAAACAATCGTCCCAACCACACTCTTCTGCCTCCCGCCACTCTGAAAGCCCTGTGGTTACTCATCTCGGTCAAGGAGGTGGAACAAACTACCAACTGAATTCAAGATAGCAGATGTTCAGGTCATCTTCCGCCAAGGGCTGAAAATCCACCCTTTCACATTATATACCTATGTCTCATTCCTAAAAACAAAACAAACACCTAAGCAATCCTAGCTTGTACTGTACTACTGAACATGTTTTTGGTTTGTTTGCTCTTGTGCCTATCGAGTTTGAATGCATTTATTATAAGTTGCTAATAAGTTGCTAATGAAACATCCTATGTAAATAACCCTACTTTTCCTTTTGTATTGTTATTGTTATTGTATTTTTACGTCACACTCGACACTGCGCTTCTTTGGGTCCTGAGCAATAACCTTTCTGAAAATTTTTCTCTCCCAAACATGCCTTAATGTACAGTCAATGCTTTTGACATGGTTACATTAAACCAATTCAATCAGGAGAGACTTCAACTGAGTGAACACCAACAATTTCTTGACATTTGCCGATTGCAATTCATCATTGAATGGGTGTGATGGAGCGGTAGAGGTATAGGGTGTGGGGTGGTGATGGCGCAATGGATAAGAATATGCCTTTGGTGTGAGAGACTCGGGTTCAATCCCCCATCCACCAATGTCCCTGAGCAAGACACTTAACCCCTAGTTGCTCCAGAGGCGTGCGACCTGTGACATGTATAGCAATTGTAAGTCGCTTTGGATAAAAGCGTCAGCTAAATGAATAAATGAAATGATGATGGAGTCTAGACACTGGTGGTGGTGATGAAAGGATGAAGAAAGTGTTGAGGATCTGGATGTGATGAGGAGAAGGTGAATGGGGTGGAGGAGGACTCTAGCGATTTGCACTGACAGCTGACAGCAGGGGGAGAGTTTAAAGTTTGATAGTGATCACATGATTGGCTTAGCTGATCATGGCAAAATCTGATTGAATGAAGCATGAAGATAGTTTTCCTGGTTGAACTTATACTGAGCTACATTTGTTTTGGGAGAAGCATCCTCATTTGATGTTAATCCCCCAGCACTTCCAAAAATGGAGAAATAAGCTTTTTTTTTAAAGACAGCGCAGATACGCAGCAATTCTCGGGCAGATGTAAAATTTGCCATCAGGTCATGTACGCACAGTGGCCAACTCACTCTGTCTGCAGCTGTTTGTATTACTGACTCAGTCAAGCTGTTAGCGGAGCTTTTTATCTTGACCTCAGAGCTCTGTTGACTTCACTGCATCCTCATCCTCTTCCCATAAAACAGTATTTGTTGATTCCGAGGTTAATAAAGGACTTGTGGAACTAAATACTCGCTCTTCAAAGAGAAAAAAAAGTAAAGAACCTCAGGGAAGGCAGTGACCTTTTCAGAGAGGATTGGCTTAAATCAGCACCACACCTCAACTTACTTTTGAGTCCTACTTAAAGATGGTTTGGTCTTTACAAACCAGACGGATGTCATATGTTCTTACCTTTTTTGTTGTCTTCGTTTCTTTTTGATGATAATATGGAGATAAGACTAATCAGACTTCCGCTGTACTCTGACTGATATGTATAATGACATTGAATGCTGTCATATCTAAGATTTAAAGAGACAGATATTACCTTTAGGCGTCAAAACTTTTTCTAAGCTCCTCTGACCAGGAGTTGAATAACCCAGTGCAAATCCTGGTGGCTGCACATATTTAACTTATTTGTAATATTTACACTTTAGAGACATTTCCAGGAATGATAATAATAATTTCAGTCACCAAATATGTAATCGTATCTTTACTGGCCTTCCCCCTCCTGTCATAATATCACAAATTCTTGCTGGACCCAGCCGCCCTCTCAGCCCCTGCTTTCCTCCTGTCTGTGTTTTCCACTGAAAGAACATAACAAACCCTGGTCCACTTAGGCCTAATGCATTTTGGGTTAGCTAAGATTGGGTTTGATGTGTGTGCACAAGTGTATGAGGCTAGGTGTGGAGGTAATCTGGTTGAGGACAAGATAAACAATAGCTCTGCTTGCCTTCCAGGATCAAGTGTTCCCCCCTTTCACAGCTTGTAGTCCTTAGTACAGGCACGTGTGTGTACACATACAGTGACAAGCTTATGGGGCTCTTTAAGGTCACATGCGGACACATACTGTATATTGTTGACAGGTCAGTCAAATTCAAATCCATTTACACACATACTATGACACAGGTGCATATTTTGCCAGAACAGAACACAAGACAGTCTCCAATAATGTCCTCATTGACATTTTGTGTATATATTTTAACATTAACACGTGTTACTGCTAAGCCCACCTCATTATGCATGCCTGTATCTAAAGTGCAAAACCTTTCAAACATTTAGTTGTGCTCCATATGCTGTGCCTGTGGCTGTATCTCCCATAAGCAGGGGCCAACTTGTGCATATGGTTTATCTGGTGGGTTTGTTATAATGGGAAAGAGGCATTTGTTCAGATTGGCTAGTGCTAATAGTTAACAGACACTCCTTGGGCTTTTTTTCTAATGACAGGAAGAGCTACATGTACAGTCCCAGACTTATGTAGACCTGACAATAAATTGCTCAGTTTGTGTGCGTGCGCGTGCACGCTCACTTGATGATGTTTAAACGAGTGGTCTCAGCTGTTTCAACAAGTTAAACAATCTTCACAAACAGAGTAGACAGAGAAAAGTAAAGACACAGAAAAAGAGGGAGTAGAGGGAAAGATAATTCTAGGTTTCAAACTTCCTCTAGGATATTTTTCTCAGAGAACAAAGAATCAATCAGTGTAACTTTCTGTTTTTTTTTTTTTTTTAACTTTTAACTTTTACAGTTTGGTGGTCTCATAAAATTGCAGCCAAACAGAGAGAGACGGTAATTTTATAATGATAATTACTGAACTCTATATGACGGATGCCCTCGGGAGACAACTGATAGAAGCAAACCACAGAAAAGCACGCAGCCAAGGAAGTGGGGAGGGGGGCATGGTCAAGGGATGAGAGTGGATGAGGGTACAGATTGGTTCTGCTCCAGCTAGATTGAGACCCTGATCACATATTCAGGATTGACTTACCTTTCCCTTTCGGTTTCAAAGCTACCCATGCAGGACGATCTCACATCTGACTCTGTCTAATTGTCAGCATCCAATCTTTCAGTCCTAGAGGGTGTTAACATTTTAAAACAGGACTTGGTTCTTATAATATATTCTTATTTTCTATCTGTTATATCATTGTGTATTAACTTTTAGGTGCCAGCCAAAGTTGACGGGCTACCTGCAGGAAGCCCCACGGTAAGTTCTGTTATTTTATGCCTCTTGTTTGTTTGTGTTTTCATGTGTGTGTATATGTGTGGGTGCATGCAGAGACAATTTCAGCACATATCAGACTCACTCAGCATTCGGTTGCCAGACTTGGCTTAACTTTAACATTTACAGCCATACCTTAGCTTTACTTGGTCAGCCTCAGCTGTACTTCATCAGCCCCAACTGTAGTTTGTTAGCTTCCGGTGTACTTTGTTAGGCTAACTTGTCAACCTGAGGTGTACTCCATTAACATCAGCAACACTTTGTCAGCCTCAGTTTTTCTTTTGTCAGATCCACCTGTACCTTCAGCTAATCCTTAGATGATGCCTCAAAACAGTTCCAAAATATATGCCATTTTTGAGGTACAGCGATGTGATTATGGTGCACATGTTGTAACTAATTTACTAAGTTTACTCTCCATTTACATTTACATTACATGCACACACCTCTGGAGAAACTAGGGGTTAAGTTGTCTTGCTTAGGGACACATTGGTGGATGTGTCACAGTGGGAATCGAATCCAGGTCTCACACACGTAAGGCATGTGCGTCTACTGTTCCATTGCCACCCCAGTTAATACTTATGTTGCTCCAGTGATCCAAAACTAACATGTAACTGGCTCATGAGGAGTTCCTAAGAAGAATGTGTTATTCAGTTTGCTGACAGGACAGCTAAGGCTAATGGATGTTATAGTAAGTGTGATAAATTGCAGTTTAAACAGAAATTCTAGCCTGACAATGATCTTAAAAAAGAAGAAAAGCTGAGTCAGAGCTCAACTGGCCACTGTATATGTGCTTTAATACTGCCTTAATAATAATGTATGCAGTATATTGTGGCTATTTTATTACCTAATGTATCCACTCCCTCTGTGTGTCCTGTCTTTCACCCGAAGACCCAGAACATGGACGAAGCACTCCGGAAATGTCCAGACATCACCGATCGCCTGAGGCTTCTGGAGCAGGAAGTGGCTCGCAACAAAGAGGAATCTGGGAGGTCACAAGCGGAGGTGGAGAGGCTTATGGCAGCTCTGAGGGATGCTGAGATGGAGAAATCATGCAAGGAGAAGAAAATAGCTGATCTTGAGAGGTGAGGGTCAAAAATTCAGTGACATTCATATCCATCACAAGACACCATGTGGGTGTCCTTAGAGAGCAGTGTCCTTCCAAGTGACCGGATCTTTGTAAGATCTCAAGTCATTCCTAAGTGCTCTATTTATAAAGAAGTAATCCATGAGACGTAAACTGTCTAGATTTTGTCCTCCCAGCACTTGAAACCACTTCCACGCTGCCATGCTTTTTGCCTGATGTAATCACACTTTAGAAATGCACACTGTGTGTTGTTCTTAAACATATTACTTAATGTTTTGTCATTTGTTTCTGTGTATCAACATCTGCAGACCTGGGTAAGTAGTTCTTAGTGTGCCTGTTAAGCATACCATCATAATACCACCAGCACCATCCATAGCCATCACTCTCAACGTCATGCCATGACGGCTGGGTTGATTTTAAACTTTCCCAGGTATAAAGTTGGAAACTGGGGCATTTTGGCTCCATCCGATCCCCAGGAAGCTCAGATTTGACTAAACCAGTGGGACAGTAAATGTACAATGCATTTACAGCAAAAAATCTCACCCTCATTCCTGTCACAGCAATAACACAACAAGAGACTTTATATGTTATTCTAATTTACGTAACCAGGGACGTATAGCCTCTCTATTGTGTTGACATTTGCATGGCTTCTTCACATTCATTGCTATCATGAGCCCTATCATGCTTGCTTTTCCTCATATCATACTGTGTTTTCACATATGTGTCTGTTAAACCCACCAAATAAGTGGTTTTGTCTCTGTATTTACTGTATGTTTTACTTTAAATGCACAAAGCAAGTCTGTGTATGTGTGTGTGTGTGTGTGTGTGTGTGTGTGTGTGTGTGTGTGTGTGTGTGTGTGTGTGTGTTTGTGTGTGTGTGAATTTGCCAGGCAGGCAGCCAGCAGCATGCCAGTAGGAGGTGGTGTATCCAGCCCAGACACTGGCTGTTTATACTACTCTGTTTATTACTGGCACTGAGCTACTCAATTATCATCTGATTTATGGATTGGTATGGTGTGTGTATGTACCTAAATGATTGGTTGTTTAGTGCCAACGCAGAGGCACTGTATGAGTGTTTGCGTGTTTATTTACCTCACGTGTGTGCGTGCATGTGTGAAATCTGTACACAGTGTGTACCTGCACGGCTTTACAGTTACAGTTAGTAGTGTGCTGTTTGGCACGTCTGTAAATATAGATTGATAGTGGGTGGGTTCTCAGTTGGTGGATTGCCAACTGCACAGAAGAAGCTGTGAAAGAAACATTTTTTTAAACACACGTTGGCCCCATCACGTGTGTTAACGCTAGCTATGGTTCTGAATGGTTTAAAATGCATCTGGTCGGGCTGCATGTACTGGATCCAGCACGGTTTCCTGCCTCGTTCATTGCCCATTTTACAGACTCTCTCACTCTGGCATGGAAGCCGTGTGCTGACTCAAACTGTGTGGGAACACATGAGCATCTAGTATAATAGGGATACAGTAGCTCCCGTGGAGTTTGTTCACACAGTCTACTCTCTGTTTCCATGTATGTGTGGATGCGTCATGCCTCTACCTCTACATGCGTCTGCTGCTCACATGCAGCTGTCACCAGAGTGTGCCCATGCACATGCGTGTGTCAATTTGTGCGTTCAGTTTCTGTGCATGTGTGCGCGCAGCCAGTCGAGGTAACGGAGCATCTAAGGATCAAGCCTCGGAACAGCTTCTTTCCCCTCAGCTCGTCCATCTTATCGGGGCTGTTGTGTCATTAATGTCAGCCAGCTACTCCTATCGGTCTGACCCCTCCCCTCTGGTCAGCGCTTAGGTCAGAGGTCACATGCATGTCAGCTGCAGGTTATCAGAAAAGGATCCCCTGCAGTCAAACACTGCCACTGTTAACATATATAAAATAGAACAGAATGAAAAAGAATAGAATATTTAGTTATAAGTTATAAGCCCATGAACATCCTTAATGTACTTATTTTTTTAGTACATATGGCTGCTGTACAGAACAGTGAACAGCATCAATCATCGTTATTGTAGTGTCACAGTATCAGTGGAAATTCCGATTTAACAAAGACACTGCACATAAAGACAGACACAAGAGTCTTTGCATACTGTATGTATTGCATGTGTAATGTGACAAGCATGGGCTGACGAGGCGAGCGTCTCCGTGTGCTGATTGGACTTCTGTGTAAGACTGTGCGAGATGTGTCTGGGCAGAGGATGAATTTCTTTTTAATCAGAGTGTTTCTTTTGGAACACGGTCAGATGGCCTATTAACCACTATCTAGAAGGAGAGAGAGAGAGAAGAACATAGGAAATAGACACTTTCTCATCCAGTTGGCAATGCAGCAGAGGGAGTCAAAGATGAATGTAGCCAGCAGGTCACTGTAATAAATACCTTCCAGCGTAGGGGAGACTCACTCACAGCTATTTCATAGCTTAGATCTCACAGTGATCTATTGTAAGTCCTCAGTGATAGCATCGGGTAGTTGATTCTTAGGGTTTTATTTACTCTTATGTATGTAGGTGTAATTCCTAACTAATCTGGCTAAGAGATCAGAGACTGTGAACAGGCTTTGTGGAAAGCATCTGTATCAGCTGTTAACACTAATGCTAATAGTTGGATTTGTTAAGTAGAGCCCAGAAAGCCACGGTTACTGATCTCCTGGAGCAGTTTGTGCAGATATAGTGGACTAAAATGGAAAAACTGAAGTATTCTAATCTTTTCCTTATGCATTTAATCAAGTAGCACTTTGAGTGTTTGCCCTGCATCGTTTATGCAGTTGGTAACATGGTATTGAATGTCTAGTGAATGGTCTATTTGAAACATGACCAGTTTTAATTAACCTTAAACATCAGGAGTGTGTCTATATATTTAAGAAGATGCATTCAGGCCTCTGCAGTTTCAGACATTTGAGCTATACATTGTGACGCAAGTTGTTCTAACATGGGAATTGGAAAAATGCTTTACTTTTTTTATATGTTGAGTGGACATCAAGCCTTGTTTCTTTTTCCTTCTCTCCTTCCTTCATGGCCATATATTGTAAACTAGTGGAATTATTTTGTATGGTCTTCCTCTTAATGCTCCTACAGCCCTATACTTTTTAATGTTTCTGCGGTGATGTGGGAGCTAAACTTTGAGAAATAAATCAGCCTCCCAGTCTGACTATATCACAGCTATTGACGTGGTAAGCACTTTGGTATGTAAGGGAGGGTTTCAGGAAAAGGGAGGTGTGTGTGTGTTTCAATATATACGTATGTATCTATGTGTGTGTAAATGTGCACGTGTGTGTCTAGCGTGAGACTGATGGGAATACATGTTGGTAGTGGAGATTGGCAAGGGTCTGTTGGCTGCTACGAATCGGTGGTTGTTGGCTGACAAATATTCATACACTCCCAAACAAACATTTGCACACATAAACATTCACATATAATTTTTGGCATTATGCCTATGGCCGTAATCAAACTCCAGAAGTTGAAAGCATCATTCTTTTGAATACATACACTGCATGCGTTCAAGCCATGAGCACATAACCTCCCAAGTCTCTGTATATTATATTTCTGCATGGACATGTTTGTAAACAGTGTTCATTTCTGTGTGTATTTGCAAGTGTCCATCCAGTTTTAATGGCCCTTTTAGCTTCGAAAATGGCCTGTTAATTTGCACCTGCACCAAAGAGGCGGTGTTGTGCAATGCCCTGCATACAGTTAATCACATCGCATTTTATCACATTTAAACAAGTGGACACACAAACAGACTAAACACTTCTTCCCTTTTAACCTCCTTTTTGTTTCGCCCTGTCATACACACACAGAGAAAATATATAAAGGCAACAGTGGAGCAGTATTTTTATTGCGATAAGACATGTCCAAGCTCCATAAAGCATCAATCAGTCATAAACATATTTGTTCTGTTTGGATCTTTCAGCACTGCATCTACAGTGTCCAGTGTTAACCCAACTACCTTGCACTACACTTTAATAGTCCCCTCTTTTTCTCCTTCTCTCCCCTTTTCCTGTACCTCTCCTTTTTCTGCACTGCAAAAAAATGCATTTAATTCTGATCATATTTGCCTCTTATTCTATATATTATGCGAAACTGTGTGGTAACTCCCATGGTGTGTCCCTGTATGCTTATAATCAGAGGATTCTTTTCCACTGTGCTGTTTATTAAAAGAGAAGAGGAAGAGAGGGGCTAAGAATTAAGAGTTATCAAGGAGAGATAAAAATCTGGATTTTTAAATAAATAGGGTTATTACTACTTTTGACCATTATTTACCCAGGAAAGCTTGACTGAGAATGCAAATGCTTTTCCAGCAACACCCTACTTAATATTCAGCAGTTTCCCACATTCAGATCTGGGAGCAGCCCGTTGTGACCGCAGCTTCCTGCTGCTCTACTGGAGCCTTTCAGTTACTCTTTGTGCTTTTGCTCAAGGGCACATCAGCAGCAGTCCTTGCATGGGAGAGGTTAGCAGATCATTCATTTATTGTAATTTACTCAGTGGCTTTCTGAATGGAAGCAAGTTTTAAGAGTCAAAAATGAAATGAGAGACAAACAAAGTGATAATAGAAAAAGAGAGTGGAAAAGATAAAGAAAGAATTATAGAAATATGTCAAATTGTCAAATATACAAGGTGAAAAAACAATCCCCCCCCCCCCCCCCAAAAAAAAGAGTTGTGCTTTCACAGCCAGAAATAATGCGGAGCTGCTTATGTTGGAAGGCGGACGTGTCGAGAAGCAAGAGGAAACGTGAACGATTACTTATTACGCTCAGTTTAGGAAATGGCTGGATTCATGCACAGTGCTGTCTCTCTCCCTCTCACTTAATCTTTCTATGAAATGCCACAGCAATAAAATACTATTTTCCCCCTGTGAATTTACTCATTTTGGCAATCAACAAATCACAATTCTCCTTCATATTTTCCACTCACATGCAGCCCAGCCCGTCTGCTCCTTATTCACACTCTACGTGCCCTCATTTGCCTTCAAATTGGTCAAAACACTTACTTCATTTTGCACTGATGGGTTCATGAGGGTATATCATCTATCAGAAGGGACCAGCGTGTCTGCTGGTTTATACACCTGTGCCAGCAGCGGCTGCATGTGATAGCTGATATGCCCTCATGGCAAGTTTGTTCTCCATGGACATGCCTCTGAGCTTATAAAAACACACATAGAGACATCAGAGATTAGAATATATCCTCCTTTCCTCCTCCTCTGTGTAAATATTGGCCCATGTGCATATACCGTGTACATATACTTCATACATAGTGGTAACAGAATCGAATGATAATCTTTAATTACGCAGCACTTTTGAAAACCCACGCATAAAGATGATTAAAAAAACGAATAAAATCAACACCTGGATTTAAAAAAAAAAAGACAAAAGAAACAAAAAAGAGACTTGAAACAACAGGCCTAATAAACCAACACTGTGTGTGTGAGTTTTTGTACAGGGGGAGTAAGATCAGACATATATACTGACATAAAGTACTCCCTCCCTACTCTGTCTTCTGTTATTATAACAAATATTTCCTCAGATATTTTGAAAGGGACTATGTTGTGTGTGTGTTGACAAGGTGAGTGTGTATTACATTTATTCATCATCTTGTTAAGTATAGTTCACATTAATTGCACACCAACATCACTCATAAAAGCTGACACACACACATAGACACACACACACACACGCACACACACACACACACCTTTCTAAGGGCTGTGACAGCAAATATTTGACCATATGTGGGGGCAGTTTGTAGGCTTTGCCCAGAGTAAACACATCAGTGTGGATATGGAATAATAATGTGGCGCGTTTTAGCAGCTGCTTGGTCACAGCCTGTTTACGGTGTTGGAGGGTTCTCTTAAGCGCTAATTTGTCACTGTCAGCTTTGTTGCACTTTCTATGCATTTTTTTTTATGTTGAGGCCAAACTGGGAGCTCAAAGAGTGTTTAGGTTCTATTTTGAGAGTGTTTGTGAGAAGATATAGATTGTGTATAAGTGCTTGTTTGTATCTTATGGTGCATGGGTTTTGTGGGTTCATGTGTGTCTACCAGTGAGTGTATTGAGTGTGAGTGTTTGTGTACTATGCATATTTCTGTATATATATAGGTGTGTGTGCACCATAGTTCTGTGGCTAAGTAAGTTTGGTAATTGACAAGAAGCCGGTCTGTATAACTTTTTTTATAGCAATAGCAACATTTTAGAAGAAAAAATTAAGAACTATTAGCGATTACAAAACATTTCGTAAAACAGGTTTAATCTCAACACAAGTCTTTCTCAAGTTCTGAGAATAGCTCAGTGTGACAAGTGGCTGAGCTTGAGAACGTTCTCTATTCAGATAGACACGGATTTGAATCCCGTGAGTTGTCTGTTTATCTTTGTTATAATGGCAATGAAAGCTCACAGGGATTTATTCATTACGGTACTTTCATGAATTTTATGGTATCTCTTTTTATATTTCTGTTTGTAATGAAGACTAGAGAACACCCATCTTCCTCATAGGCCTAGAAATGTATACATGAAGGTAATATTAAAAGTCTTGTCTTTACATTCTCCGTTTTGTCCTTTAAGCTTTGTAGGACCACTGGGTGACTAATATTAAATGAAGTTATTATGAACAGATGTGTAATCTGTAAGAAAAACACCTGCTGTTTGTAGATGGTCTACACTAAGATACTTAGTACTGAAATAATGCAACCCTACCCATGACCTGACAAATACATTTTACAGTACTTTTACAAGTGCATTTAAAAAAGCTTCACCTTAAATATGTTTGTACAGCAGGATTATCTAACATTTCCTGCTTAAAACACATTACATCCACCTCCTAAGACTGCATTTTCTGCTATCTATGATGTACTCACCATGAACTAAGCATCTAACCACAGGTCAGGAGCTGTAGTTGTTGCTGTACTATGCAACTTAACGACAGTGGTCACGAACGTTTGTCGAAACTACCACTGCGTTGCTTATGATGGTTCGTACCATGTAAATTACCAACTTAGTTACCTCCATAGTTCGTACTAGGGTTTTGGGAAACAGTTGCGTCGCAACTGCATAGTTCCAACCAAGGAAGTTGCTACTGTAGTTAGCAACGATGCTTTTGGGAAAGGCACTCCTGGTTGGTTAATACATTGTTTAGCTCTGTAATCAACACCTCAGCAATGCACTGACAGCAGATTTATTACCCTGTGTGTGTTTCTGGCAGTGTCTATAGATGTTTTTTTAAAAACACATTCCCTTATGTGTGTGTGTGTGTGTGTGTGTGTTTGTGCCACTTTTATCTTCTTTTCTGTTGACTTACCTCTTGCGCATATCTCTATTTCAGAATGTGTGGTTGTGTGCGTGCACGTGCTTGCGTCTCCTGTCAGCATGTGTTTGTGTGTTTTGTTGGTGAAAGATTTACACAGCAGTGTCTCACCACCAAGTCTTATCTTGTCCCAGTCTGCCATGTTACCAAGACTAGACTACACACAGCACTTCTCTGCTTTACTGTGCACACTGTAGCTTTTCCATTTACCTGTATGATGCAGAATGCATGCCTTGTTTTCACAATGGATTTAAAGCTATAGTCATATATTTATTTTTATATTTGTATTTTAAATGAAATGGGGCCATTGTATATTGGGCATAGGATGTGTGCATACATTTTTACATACATACAGGATACACTGTGGTTATATTGTGTGGTTTTAATGATTGGTTTACATTTCTTTATTTATTGAGCATCTGTTTATCTGTTGTCACCCATCTTTCTCCATCTGAAGGCAAATCAAGTCTCCTAACATCCAGAAGCAGACGGTCCCGGGTGAGATGAGGAAAGATGCCCTGACTGATGGACATTCACACTCTTTATCGCAGGTTTGAATATGTGTGTGTGTGTGTGTGTGTGTGTGTGTGTGTGTGTGTGTGTGTGTGTGTGTGTGCACATGTGTACATTCCTTGGCCTCTAGTTAAGCTCTTCATCCAGTCCATCTCCATCCAAGCCGTTCCTCAGAAAATAATATCTTGTCACCTTCCTATATCCCTACATTTTGCTCCCTGTCTTCTCACTTCATCTCTGTATATTTCTGCTCTTCTGAGAAGAGAGAGCCCTGTTCCAGTCTTCCATGCCTCCCTCAGTGCATCTCAGAGTAAGTCCTGAACGGAAGAGACAGGCATTTAGTTCAGCTGAAATCAGCTCCATACGCCAGTCAGGAGCAGTTGCAAAATGGCTCAGATGGAAAGAATAAAGAAGTGAGTCTGGGTCAAGCAGTAGAGAGAATCTTGATTAAGTAATTTAATGTATTACCATATGTTGACCTGAGATAATACTTGTGTGTTAGTGTTAGATTAGAGCTCAAGTTCAAGTTTGTCATTGATCCATATCAAAACCCGGCCGATATGGAAATCAGCATTTAAAAATGTCAAACAATGGGATGCCACCCATTCATCACTCATCAGAGCATCGCTCTATGGATGTCAGTTAGTCCACCAATTTAGTTAATCGTAAAAACTATTGAATGGTTAAACCTTGACTTTTAACCATTGGGTAAACTTTTCAATTTCCCTTTGGTTTATGACCAAATACCTGAAAAAAACATTATCATCAGCCTCAGTTGCACTTAGTTTTTGGTGCTAGTCATTAAAGACAATGCAATCTGATGTGCTACGAGTGTTACATTTTACAGTTAAAGGGCTTTCTGGTATTTGAACTTTGTAATGGCAAAAATGTTGGCATTTCTGCATTATTATTTCTTCTTTTTTGTTTATTTCCTCTCAGTCAACCTATGCGCCACTGTACTCAATATTAAAGCATTAAACATTATCTAAGATGTGCATGTGCATTTGTTATGATTACGTTATGATCAAAAACTAGCAAGTCATCGAAGAATTCCAGTTCAGGTTCAAGTTTGCTAACATGAACATCAAGATTTATAGCTAGCGGCTTAACCTCTGTGGCCAATTCTGCAAGCACAACAAGAGAAGACAAAGTGAGCCAGCTAATAAGTTATTACTTACAAGTCCAACAGAAAGAAGGCAAGCTCGGCATGTGTCCTTCAACCTTTCAGCTCTTTTAGCTCAAGCCAAGCAGGCAGAAGCCGGTCTGATATTTACTCGTCACTCTTCTCTTTTTCTCTTCCTCTCTTCCTCCAAAACTTCTCTCTTTGCAGCCTCTGCCATGATATAGATACTGAGAATCGTGAGCTATCTTCTTTCAAAGAACTTACATTGTACAGATATACTCTTTGCTGCTTCTTATAGCTTGCTTGTTGAAGAGTTGTCTTGGTGCTGTAAAGCATTACACTGATGTCGCATAGGTTTTCTGCCCGGGACAGACTCCACTCACTCTAATACAAGTCAGTGTAGCATCAAAATGATTTTAAAGCTGTTATTTAAGATAGAAAATACTACATAATGTTGCTTTAATAACAGTATTGCAAACAGTATTAAAAAGATTAGCAACAATACTGTAGAACATGTAAAAATAAGACTGCATAAGAGTTAGGATATGGAGGGACCACCACATATTCCAGCTATATCTTATAAATACATGCTGTATTTATTGCATTCTGTATATTATGTTTGCTCAGCAGTCAGACTTGCGTTATAGCCTCTATCTCACTCCCTTTCCTTTGCTTTCTCTCTCTCTCTTTCTCCATTTATCTCTGAGTCCATCAGGAACACAGCACGCTCCGAGGGTAAACACAAACAAACAGGGCCTTCCCTCATTGCTCCCTCTCCCCATCCATCCAGGAGAGTTTATGTGGGACGGAGCGATAGCATCTCGTCTCCATCGCGCCACGTTGCACAAACACAGAGAAAACACACATCGGAAATGTTCACTTCAAGCCTTTTATTTCTCTTTTATCTGTAATGGAGACGCATCAGCGAACCCCCCCCCCCCTCTATTTAGAGACACAAGGATAACTATAGAATCTCTTTTTTTTTATCTGGGGACAGTTAAAGAAGTACCCACATTCCAGGATTTTCTTTCACTCTAAGCTTGTTTCCACATTCTATACATTAGACTGAAACTGTATATGAAACCTCTGGCCCTGCACACAAACTTAACATTTTTTAAATTATGAAACAGGACACAAATTGTAGAAGTTGATGCTGCACACTTAACTTTTTTGACAGAGACAGAGACAGATGTTTGTGTCTGCCTGGGTCAGGCTATGTGGCTAAGTGGTTTGTATGTGTGTGTGCTGAGGATCATAGGTACACAGCTGCTGGAAATGTGCATTCTCTCACTCTTTGCTCGTTTATTTTAGTGATTATAATCCCTCCATCAAACCAGAAAGGGCCAGACTCTGTAATGATCCTTCCCAGGGGCATTAGGTGATGATTGGTGCTGCAGAGGCAATTATCTTCCCATTTCTCCCCCCTCTCTGTGTCTCTTGCCCCTTTTCCCATTCTTTTTATTCTTGAAAGCCAGCAATATTCTCTTGTTACTAATAAAACTCACATACAACACACAGATATGCACTGACACAGACACACAGACAGACAGACGGACAGATATACTGCACATGTGCACACATACACACACAGGCAGACACAGCTCTCTGGTCGGGTTTCACTCGGGGGTCCCGCAGTGGCAGCCCCATCTCAGTGGGGTGTGTGTGTGTGTGCGCGTGTGCGTGTGTGTGCATGTGTCTGTTGGGCGGGGTCAGACCGGTACTTGTTGATTCTGGTGCATCGAATTACTGCCCGTCTGTCACATCCAATTACAGCTTTGGACTGCTGACGCACACAGCCTGCCTCTGTACGTGTGTGTGTGTATGTGTGTGCGGGTGTTTGTCGCTCACCTCCAGCTGTGTCGTGCTGACTTGACGAGCCACAAGTATCCGCTTGTGATTTGGCAGGCTTGGCATTATTTTCAACACACTCAGTGATAATCCCATTGCTCCTGTTTTAGTTGGTGTCAGTGAATTAGTCAGTTAATTAGCCATAAATCATCTTTTTTATGAAGAAGCACGATTTTTTTTTATACTTGTCATGAACTGGCTTGATATAGTAGCTATTTATGATATGGGTACCATCTCAGAATTCACTTTTTCCTCTTTAATCTTTATTAGGAGCAGTTAATAAGCCATTCATATGCATCCCACTTGTCTCATTAAATGACTTTAACTTGACTCAGTTTTTCATGCATTCAGCATGTCCTTTTTTGCCGTCACAATAGATTTGCCATGGCACTGTTTAGCCTGGAGCTCCCTTTATACAATAAAAAACATTGGTCTATTCAGAGTGCTGTCAGACTTATTAATAACATTACACACACACACACACACACACTCATGTTGAGCTCCATATATCTGCAATGCTGCAATTGTTTCCAAGCATTCCGAATGCAATAACTTGCTTCTACAAGCAGCCATTTCTGAGATGAAATGTCAGTTTAAGAGTTTGTTGCGAAGCATCGCAACATTTCGCAATAAAGTCAACTTAAAAAAAAACAAAACTTTTTGCTTTGTTGCTGTCTGGGGAGAGTTTCCTACGCATCCTTGTTGCTTCTAAGAATATCTATTGCTTGTACTGTGTCATATTCATGTGCTTGATGCTTCTACAAGTGAATGTGACTTTTATTTTATTTCCTAAATCTGATCTGGTGTTTTTGGCTAGTGTGGATTTTCCACTTTTCTAGCTTCTTCTTTATTTACAATTCAAGTTTTGTTTTGCAACTCGTTGGACAGTTTGAAAGTGTCTCCTCAACCAAGGATTCTGCCCTGCCCCCAGAAAAGTGTGAACGTGTGAACTTGAAGGCGAGTCAACTTTCGAGGAGTAGGAGAGAATGTATTTTTAAAAAATGAGAGAGAGAGAATCGGGCAGTTTATTATTTCTGTCCAGTGTTTTCTTTCACAGTTCCATCACCCAGTGTGGAGAGGGATCTCTTTCCCCCTCCTCACCATAGGTGTCAGAGAGGCCACACACAAACTGTGCATGTTAGTGTGCACAGTCTACTCCGCACCCTCACTCACACATGTGCACACTAATATGGAAAGCAGCAAAGGTCACAGCACTTACACACTCTCTCTCTCCATCACTTATGGCTCTCTTCTTTCTTGGCTGTGACTCTTTTTTTTTCTAAGAGAAGTGTTGTTCTTCTCTCACCACAACCTTTCCTCAAGTCTCTTCCTTTGCTTCTATTTTACATGGATTGGATTCTTTTTAGCAGAGGGACCAACAAATACCTTTTCTCAATTTACCTTTTGCCAATACAGTGTGATTCTAGTGCAAAAACATCTGATGAGGATTTTTCTTAACTATACTCAAAGAAAAACACTCTCTCCCTGGCTTTTGCTACTTTGCTTCCAACCCTCCTCCTGGTCCTCCTCTGCTGAACTACTTTCGCTCCCACCCCCACCTCCCCAGCTTCCTCTTTCAGCTTCCCAGGATGCCATGCGGGAGACAGCGGAGCGGATCAGGGAGTTGGAGAAGGCACTGAGGGAGAGCATGAACACCTCCGCACATAGGGAGGCTCTCTGGGCACAAGAGGAGGGTGCCCGTGTTCAGGCCCAGAGAAAGGTTTACCTGACGTTTCACACACTGATGGAACACACACACAGATAATCTTATGCATCCCTACACAGACGGTGTGGCCTACCTTTAAAACTGAGTGCAGGTTATCAGCTCACCTAGGAATGTGTATACGTGTGGAACTTATCGGCACCCCCATGTGGGGAAGAGTGTAGCTGCAGGCTGTGGTTTATGAATGATCCTTAATCACTTAGTTTGGAGCTCATAACCAACAAATATCAATATTACAAAATGGATGAATGTCTTTTGCTTCCTGTGTGTTTCATTCTCTAAACATGCTGTTTGATTTTTCTCCTTCTAGACTGAAATTTTAGGCTGAAAGTTCCTCCTTTAATTTTCGGTCGCTCGATAAGTTTGCTGCTGCATGCTTGAAAATGTGAGCATATGTTTAGCCTATTGTGAGTTTATGTGCATGCAATCAGAATTCATCAAGTAGTATACTTTAGACTTGCAGTCTTGATGGAGTACAGGCTCCCCTTTCATTCTGTATGTCCTGCTGTCTATCTGTCTTTCTGACCGCCAGCTGGTCGGTCTGCATCTTTAAGTGGGTCCCAAAAAAGCGCATGTGTGTACATTCGTATGTGTGTGTGGGAGCGTAGGTGTGTCTGTGGTGGGAAAGAGAAACAAGGCGAGGGAGTGTGTTTCCTCCTGGTGTGAGCGTGCATTTGAATGAGAATTACCTTGCCCCACTGATGAGAGCCACAAGTAATATGAGCGCGATCTGCGGTTAAAACAAGAAATAACATTTTGAGGCAGAATGGTGGCTGTATTGCCTCAAATACACATTCGAAGACAGAAGCAGCTAGAGGAGAACAAGATGAAGCGAGGAGATTGGTGGACAGAGAGGGGAATGTAAGAGAGGGTCAAACTCAGTTTAGAAAATTCAGCGAGAGCCAATGCTAACTGTGGCTTGTTTTTTCCTCTTTTTTTGTGGGCAATTTCTGTACTTTACATGCTTGACTTGCAGTCAGCATGGATACTTTGTTTATCAAACAATATTCTGATCTACTGAGAGGTCAGAAAGAAAAGTATATTTAGGTCTGTGGGACTTTTCGAAGTGGATGATTCAGCTTTGACCTAAGTTTACCCGTGTGTAGCCAATGAATCAGGGCAATCCATTCCTAACTTGTGTAACATTAACACTCATTGACCCCAAAAAGTCATCGTCAACTTGCTTTTATTTCAAGTCAATCCAGTCCCTACACGTGGAGAACATACTGAGCCACTATACAGTCATACTGGCAACTGCATTTCACACGTATTGAGCCAGAGTTGCGATGTCCGCTAAAGGAAAGATACCCAATTGGCCTGGCACTCAAGCTGCTCAGTCGTCGAGTCCCACTGCTCAATGCTGTCAACTTACTGAACTTTGTGAGCTGGCTTGACGTCACGGGATAGTGAGGCCATTAACATGCAGTTACACAGTCGTCAATCAGTTGCTGCCATTGTTTCTTCAGAATGGAGAAAAAGAGAGTGTGTGGGGAGGGATGTTGGAGGCTAATAAAGAGATGAACACGTCTTTCTGAAACATCACCTGACCCTGGCACCGTTTCAGAGCGCCCTGCCAGACTCACTTTCTCACATTGCCCCCACCCCTCTTTTCTTGATTTCTTTCTTTCTTTCTTCTCTCCTCTGTCCCGGAGTAATCAGTCTCATGACATGTAATGCGCTGAAAGTCTTCCATCAGCCTGACCTGCTGAAATGGAGCATGGGTAATGCCCCGGGTCACTTTTCTTCACACCCCCGCTCTGTAAGTCTCTCCCTCCGTCTCCGCTTCTCTCTGTCTCTTGCCTTTCTCCTGACATCATTTCTGCTGTTCGTCCATTGTCATAAGCCTCGTTCTTTCCCATGCGCCTTCTTAAATTGTCTCGCCCAATTATCCCCACACTGTCTCTCCTCTCTTCGGCTCCTGTCCCTCTCCCTCTCTTCTTCGCTGTGGCGTTTGAACTAGGCCTTTGAACCAGCAACACCGATGCAAATGGACAAGACGGATTTGGCCCTTACCTCTGAGCCCCCAATCAGCTTAGCAACTAAAGGGGCTTTGGGCCAGTCTTAGTGAGCCTTAGGCTGGCTGGGGGGCTTTGCCTTGAAGTTGAGCTAAATTAGCACGCACAGGCTGACTGCTAAGCTGATTAGGTCCCTAATTTCACTAAAATGCATTGTATTCCTTATTAATGATGTGATTGTGATTTGAGGGCTAGCCTGGGTGGTGGACTAATGGGGGGGGGGGGGGGCGGTAGGTGCATAGGGGTCGATAGACATGTGGTGGGTGTAAATGGAGTTGTGTGTGTGTCTGACCCTTGGCTTTCAAGATGAAAAGACTGACTTTGGATTCTGTTAAGCCTGAAAGAAGACATCAAACCTTAAATGTGGTGTGATTTTGGACACTTGGATATCCTGTTAATATTGGGTGTAATACCTGCTGAGGTCAACTGATGGATGTGGGGTGTATTTTATTTAAAACAATGCTTTGTTACATTTCTTGGAAGGTATGACTGAAAGTTGTCATTTTCCCACCATTTCAAATTTCTAGATTCCCCACTGGCTTTGCTTTTACCCTTTTTTTCTCTCTCACTCCATATGTGATATTCATGAACAGTCCGTGAGCACATTATCTGACATCTGTGAAACACACCCAGTAAAGCGGCGGAGATGGAGAGTGTCCTGAAAATGTGTGAACGATTTGGCCCCTTCATAAAAGAGGCCCATTCCTTTTTTCATGTCCTACCCCATGGAGTGTTTTCCCCTAAAACTCCTTTTCACATTTTTTTCTTCGCTTCTCCTTCACTTTGTTTCCCTTTGTTGATTTGAGATCCAAAACTTTATTTATCATTTGACTATCTTATATCACAAATCATCAGAATTGAACAAAAATAAATTCATATTCCGGCAGTCTACCATTTGCATCGTCTGATCAAGCCAGCCTAGTAATGTTTCCTATTGTAAAGTACTTGTTGTTAGACAATTAGATGCTTCCTGTCTGAGGATAATGGTGCCCTGAGGTCACATCCTGTCAGACACTCATGTTGGACACACAGGCCTGCATGGCTGGAAGGCACGTGTGTGCCGTGGGAGGAGATGTAGTTGAGCGGCTGAACATTATTCTCACCTGCTCTAAAGTAGAGCCACACTTGAGAGTGAGATAAAAAATAAGTGGAGAAAGGTGGGAGAGAAGAGGGAACCTTTGTTCCCTGTGCCAGCGGTCAGCGGACATATCATTCAACTAACCTTTGAACCTCAGTAATTTCACTTACTTTTAGATGTCACCCAACCATTTGTTTTCATGTTAAGGTCATTTCACTTAATTCTAACATTCCAGCACACACACACACCCTCTGAAATGCATGCATGCAGACTAATAAAAGTGTTTATCTGATTACTTTAGCATGTCCATGTGCACATGTGTGGATCCATAAGTATACAATAGATCTTATATATTTCATTTTATGTGGCAAGTTATGTGAGTTAATGAGCGCTTCTTACGTTACGTTCTAACAGATCCATGTGGGTGAGTGTCCTGGTAATGTTTTGATACTGTTTTAATCTGTGCGAATATGTTTCCCATTTGTATAGTTAGAGGAGCTGATGGGGGCTTTGGAGAAGACAAGGCAGGAGCTGGACGCCACCAAGCTGCATCTGTCCTCCACTCAGCAGTCCCTGCACGAGCGAGACGGACACCTTAATAGTCTTCGCCAGGAGAGACGCAAACAGCTGGAGGAGATTCTGGAGATGAAGTTAGTCTCACACTCTGCCATCTGTCTTTATATACAGTAATAATATCTGCACAGTATTTATATCTTATCTATCTGACTTAATCTACCATACTTGTATATTTTCCTGCTTTACAGATGTAACCCCTTTCAAAAAGTAGGCCACACAGAATACTAATCACATACTCTGTAACCATATGTTACATCCTGTCCATCCATGGCTTTGCATTTCTCTAATCAGTAAAAGAAAGATTTCATCTCTCAGTAATAGGAATTAATTAAACTGCATTTACATTGAGAGAAAAGCCCTAATTTGTAATACAGGCAAGAGTTGCTGGTAACTGCTCTACGACACACGGTCGGAAAACAAGTGTTTGTGGTAGTGACTGCACACCCAACCCATAAAAGTATATGATCAAGGATCTTTTATTAACATTGGCACAATTCGCCCAGTGCTTCATCGGGCGCATTTTCATTACCCTGCACAGCAGCTTCGTCGCTGCAGCAGAAACCTGCGTCTTATACTGTATTCGGCACATTTATCTGCTCACCTGTTCTCATGTGCATCTGTGCATGAGTGTTGTATAGACATCAGCGCTGGAGTGTGTTTTGAAGCAGGATCAGACGTTGTCTGTAGCTGCCTTGTGAAAATGTACATTTATTGAGGACAGGTGGTGCAGCCTTAGATTGCAGGTCAGAAAAATATGTATGCAGTTGTTGTTTTTTTTGTTTGTTTTGTGTGTCTGTGTGTGTGACAGAGAGAGAGTTTGAAAAGGAGAAAACCAAAAAAAAGAAGTGTGGAGGACCGGCTGTATTTCCATATGTGAGTGTGTGTCAGTGGGTATGTATGTGTGAGTGATTTCAGTGATCTGTCAGTGGAGCGGCTACATGTGTGTTTGCTTTGAGCGCTCTGATTGAAGGAGCATGGAGCCACATATCTGGCTGTCATGTGCCGCAGAGAAATGCCTTTAATGTCAGCCACTCATGTGCAGCACAAAAGGGAAGGCTGGCACATATGTATTGAAAACACAACTTTTAAAATCCATTATGCCTCACAAGCCCCTCTCATCACACTAACTCTACAAGAATGCGTGTATGCGTCTGTGTCTGCCTACAGTATGTGCATGCGCGCAGCGTGCCGGAGACCCGAGGAAGAGAGTGCCCTTGCCCATGTATCACACACGCACTTGTGATACAAACCGTCTTCCTGTCTGTTCCAATTTCCACCATGCAAACATTGCCGGGTATGTTTAGTAGAAGAAAATGTGTTACATATGTCACAGACACAACCCGTTCTTCTAGGTATATACGTGAAATTAGGAAAACGCTCACGGACCTGGCACGTGATTGATAGCTTTTTTTGCTTTGCTGGCACTAGGCTTAAATCATTATTATATTACCATTAGAAAACATTCTGAAGAAGAAGGTTAGTGTGATGGTTGGTTGACATAAACAGCAACAAAGTAGATGGGATTCTTTGCCTTTGTGCTCAAGACTTTGACTTGAATGCAAGTCTACACTGGTGAGAGCTAATGGAGGGGGCACAGGGGCCATGAGTGTGTGTGTGGTCCCTTGTGCATCGGATTCTGTGTGTATGAAGAGGTCAGAGGCAGGGGTTTGGGGTCACTGATGATGAGGATTAAAGGACTGTTGAATTGCGAGGGGCGAAGCTTCGTGAGACTGACTTGCATCTGAACAAGCCACAAAGATACGCACGCAGAATGTACACACAACCATGGTGGAACTCACATATAATCACTCACGTCTGCGGACATGCACACACATACACAAACTTTGGCTTTCTGCTTAAAAAGGGGGCTGTATTCCCACAGCACAGCTCTGGTCCAAGTTAGCACAGGGGAAACTAAACAGGAAAGATAAGGCAGGGAAAGAGAGGTAACGAGAGAGAGAGAGAGAGAGAGAGAGAGAGAGAGAGAGTTGAAGCAGAGTGAAAGCAAGAAAAAACGAGACAGAAAGACAGAATGAGAGGGAGGGGAGGATGGAATGGAGGGGCTACACAAACTTAAGTATTTCAAATCTTAGAAATCTTGAGAGAAGTTTGATTGCATGCCAAGTTTCTCCTTCTCTCCACTGTAATGTGGCATTTGTCAAGAAGACCAGCTGAAGCAAACCATGTGAGGCACGTTCCCCAGTGAACTGGAGAGCTCTCTGTGTGTGTCTTTTAATGTGTGTGTGTGTGTGTGTGTGTGTGTGTGTATAAGCCAGAGGGAGAGAGAGAGCAGACTCTTTGCTTTTCAACACTGTTAATGAAAGAGACAAGAGGGGAAAAAATCATTTTTAATATCCTCTCATTGCATGCTGGGTTTCCTAGCTTGTATTGTGTGTGTGCGTGTGTGTGCGTGTGTGTGCGTGCATGTGTGTGTGAGAGGGAGACGGAGTGAGTGCATTTTCATATTTGCGTTTTTCAGATATAGAGCTGAATGCTTGAGGTATAAGGAGCGGTGTGGGTCTGTTCTATCACCCCACACCAGATTGAGTTTCCACCATACTGTACAGCACTCACACACACACCCATACAGACACAGATGGCCTCCAGAGGAGCTAGTCATTAAATGAGTGTAGGGTCATCGGGTGTAGGTGCACAATAGAGAAATTATGTGTTTGGACATTTTGAATAGTTAGCCATTAAGATGTTTCCATAGTCTGAATGGGATAATACTACATGCCACAACATTGCAGTGGCTTACTGAACCTGATCCTCCCATAGACACTGGGAATGTAGCTGATATTATCTCTGTTTACGTTTTAGTGATGGAAAATGATGATAGAGCAAAGAAAAGGTAGCGGCAGCTTTGAGGTAAGGACGTGAAGAGATTCAGAGTTGACAAAGTGGAAATTTTCAGAGGTAGAGAAGAGGAGAGTCTGAGAGATGGAGGGGGGGAAATAATGCAAACATCAGTAGAAAGACCCTGCAAGACCGTGAATGGAGGAAAAGAGAGAAGCTGCAGAAGAGAGCAAGGGAGGAAATAGTAAATGATGGGAAAAAAGGGAAGATTGAGTGAGGGAGTGATTGATGGAGGGGTTGATATATGGAGGAAGGGAGGAGGAGAATGATGGAGGAAGTGGTGCAAGAAAGTACAGGGATAAGATCGAGTATAAAGCTGCGAGGGGTGGGGAGGGAGCGGAGCAAGGTTAGCAGAAACAGAGCTAGAGAGAGGAAGAAGAATGGGTGAGAGAAGAACAACTAAACACAACATACCATCAGCACACACCTGCACCACATCTGACAATAACGAATATCTACCTGCTATTTCACATTGATTTTTTTTTTGTTATGTTATATTTCCCTACACCCTGAACAACATGTCGGACAGAAATGGCACATAGACAAAGAAAACAAATTCCTCAGTGTCACATAAAAACAGGAGCTCTATCAATTACAGACTTCTTATACATTTGCCTTAAATATTTGCTCAACAGTAATTCATAGAAATTTGTTTTTTCACATTTTCTTTTTTCCAGAATGTTGGACATGTGCTGAAAATGTGTGGACTATGGATAGGAACTTACCTTTTGTGCCAAAGCAAAATTAAACAAAACATCAACTATATCCAACGGTCACTCCCTTTTTTCTCATGTCATTAACTCAGCACCGTCTCCCAAAGGCTAAATGAGCTATTCCATTCCGTGGAAATGTAATAACCCCTAACCTGTATCCCAGAAAATTCAATTCTGTCCGTGAAGTGCGTTCATGTATCCGTTCGTTGGCTAGTTACAGTAAACCATGGCATAATGAAGCTTAGAGCAGTAGCGACGTTATGACTTTCAAATCCCCAACGTAGACATCCTGTCTGCACAGCGCCATTGCCATGGTTACTCTGACTAAACACACAGAGACCAGCTGTACTGGCAAGGTCATGTCCCCGCTCCCTGATCTCTCTGAGGGGCCTGGACACACACACACACACACACACGCCCTCACAAACTCACACACAGACATACACACATATGCAGCATGTGCACTCGCACTCATTGAAGCACATTTACACTGAAAAAGTATCTTTACGCATTCATGCCAAGAAGCACTGCGTTCAACAGGTACGCAAGGACTTAACAGCAAATGCACACATATATGTATTCACACAGCCACATGCAGACAAGTATGGTGTTACAGTGCCATTGTGATAAGTAATGATGAGACATAGAGTGCTGGTGCAGTGTGTGAATGGGATTCTCTGTGTTGCACTGATGAGGAGGGGCTGACTACACATCACCTTCCTCTCTCTGCGAGCAAGTTTGTGTGTGTGTCGCCTCGTGGGAACCTCGGGCCATTCATCATGTCTGTCTGTGCTCCCATGCCCTCTGACATGCGTGTTTACCTTGGACATGTGTGTCAGCTGTCGGGCCTGTAGGTGTGTTATTATGTCAGGGCAGAGGCATTGCTCCACCCTCCTCCTCCTCCTCCAACTTTGAGGTTTTGTCAATGGAGGGCTTCATCACATGGAAATCCCTGCTTCTAAGTCCTTATTCAGTACAGTAAGGTAATGACAGACTTCTACCTGGGTCCCATACAGTAAGCATCAAGGGTGGAGAGATACATGTGTGGTTTGTTTCAATATAGTCATTTTTTAAATTGGATATTGTGCGGTTAAGCTAATGCAGCTGGAAGTTACATGCCTTAAATGTAACTTTTGTGACCCATTTTCCACAGACCACGTCGTTCTGCACTCTGCAACCGTCACTTCTGGAGCTCACATAAAGGATTTGGCTGTCCTAGCATCAATTATGGTTATTTTTATCACTACTTATTCATATTTTATTAGTGCTTATATCCAGATAGTATGGATCAGAGGTGGGACCAAGTCATCGTTTTACAAGTCCAAGTTAAGTCCCAAGTCTTAGCACTCAAGTCCCAAGTCGAGTACCAAGTCCAGACCAATCATGACTGACAAGTCCGAGTCAAGTCTCAAGTCAAGGACCAACAAGTCCAAGTCTTAAACTTTGAGTTTCGAGTCCTAAACAAGTCATAATAATAATAATAATAATAATCTTTATTTGTAGAG